TCAAAACACAGTTTAAGGGTCCTGCTCCTAAAGAAAGTAAGAAAGTTTGCTTGATTTCAGGCAGTCCTGTGAGATCAGAGTTGTATGTGGTTCTTCCTTAAATGGCCATCTGACAAATCGACTCTTCCTTCCTGTTTCTATATTCAGCCAAAGACACAGATATTATCGATGAGGCCATCTACTACTTCAAAGCCAATGTTTTCTTCAAGAACTATGAAATTAAGGTAAGACGGATGACTGTAGCATGCTGTGCTGAGCCTAAAAAATGCCTTGTGTGTCTTAACATGCATTCATAGTTCTGACCTGAGAGAGAAGAATCCATATTCTCACTGTATCCTGATTTAAACTCTTTATATATGCATATACACCGTTTTTTAATACCTCTCATATGTCTTTTTATTTTATTGTTGAGATTTTATATTGAAATATTCACTTTTATACTTTTGTTAGAATGAGGCAGATCGAACTTTGATCTACACCACTCTTTACATCTCTGAATGCCTCAAGAAGCTCCAGAAGGTAACTGTTGAAGAATAAAAGCTTCATTGTATATTTCAAACAGTCAGTGATGAATCATTTGTCAGGTGTTGTTCGTTTTTCTCATAGTTTATTCTTCATACATTATCTAACTACAATCTCGTAAATGATTTATAGTGCAGTTCAAGGGGTCAAGGAGAGAAGGAGATGTACACGCTGGGAATTACCAACTTTCCCATCCCTGGAGAACCTGGCTTCCCTCTGAATGCCATGTATGCTAAACCCTCTAACAAACAGGAGGATGGTATGGCACAGTGAAGTCAAAACTTACTTAGGTCTAGTTGTTTTGCACATCCACTAAGACCTTCATTATGATGAGTTTATTAGCAGTTTTATTGCTGATTACAGAATTGACCTAGATACTGTGTTTTTCTCCTGGACAGAAACGATGAGAGCTTACCTGCAACAGATCCGACAGGAGACGGGACTGAGATTGTGTGACCGTGTGTTCGACCCTCAGACAGACAAACCAAGCAAGGTGAGGCATATTGAAATATTATTTATCAGTCAAATCAAGGTGATTGACAAAAGCAAGAGAGGTATTTATAGGCATTTTATTCATTTAGTTAATTGATTACATTTTTTGTGCACTGTGACATTTTAATGACAATTAAGAACAGTTTTCCTCAAGTCTTGTTACTGCAATGCAAAAATAAAAGTTAATTGTAAGAGGTTTTTTATATTTTTTTTAACAGGACACATATTTCCTCAAGTTATATGTTTAAATGAGTGTTTTTAGTTTTTTAGGGTTTTGTGCATTGTAACATTATATTCATGACATATAAACACGTTTCCTCCCAAGTCTTGTTACTGTAATATTACAAACCAAAAATTGTTGCGAAAACACATTTTTTTTATATTGTGGCAAGACATTTAAGCAAATTTTTTTTCTGTCC